ACCTCAAGAACACCCTCGAACTCAACCTCCCCCAGACCAGCGGAAAGAAGAGCAAGATCGTCCTCGGTGTCGTCGACAAGAGGCTCGCTGGTGAGATCAGCGGAAACTTCCCCGGTATTCAGTGCGAGGCTGCCGACACCTCCGAGGTCGTCGCTGCCCTCCTTCGCGGCATCCGCACCCACGCCGGCAAGCTCCTCAAGGGCCTCCAGGACGGTGACATCAACCGCGCCCAGCTCGGTCTCGGTCACGCCTACTCCCGTGCCAAGGTCAAGTTCTCTGTCCACAAGAACGACAACCACATTATCCAGGGTATCGCTACCCTCGATGCCCTCGACAAGGGTATCAACTCCGGCGCCATGCGCGTGAGGGAGTGGTACGGCTGGCACTTCCCCGAGCTCATTCGCATCGTCTCCGACAACGGCACCTACGCCAAGGTCGTTCTCGCTGTCGGCAACAAGAAGTCTCTCAGCGACGAGTCCCTCGACGAGCTCGCCAACGTCCTCAACCAGGACGAGGACAAGGCCAAGGCCATCATCCAGGCCGCCAAGGTCTCCATGGGTCAGGACATCAGCGATATGGATCTCAACATGGTCAAGGACCTCGCGGACAACGTCTCCAAGATGGCCGACTACCGCCGCATCCTCGCCGAGTCGCTCGACAAGAAGATGGGCGAGGTCGCTCCTAACCTGCAGGTCATCCTCGGCACCCCCGTTGCCGCCCGCCTCATCTCGCACGCCGGCTCCCTCACCAACCTCGCCAAGTACCCCGCCTCTACCCTCCAGATCCTCGGTGCCGAGAAGGCCCTCTTCCGCGCTCTCAAGACCAAGGGCGCCACCCCCAAGTACGGTCTCCTCTACCAGAGCACCTTCATTGGTCGCGCCGGTCCCAAGGTCAAGGGTCGCATCTCCCGCTACCTCGCCAACAAGTGCTCCATTGCCTCCCGTATCGACAACTTCTCTGAGAACCCCACTAAGCGCTTTGGTGAGGTTATGCGCGAGCAGCTTGAGCAGCGTCTGGAGTGGTACGCCAAGGGCATCAAGCCCATGAAGAACACCGAGGCCATGGACAAGGCCATCAAGCTCGTCATGGACGACGAGGGTGACATGGACATTGACACCGAGATGGTCGACTCGCACACTGCCACCCACGCCACCGACTCCAAGAAGGACAAGAAGGAGAAGAAGGACAAGAAGAAGGACAAGGAGGACAAGAAGGAGAAGAAGGACAAGAAGGACAAGAAGAGGAAAGCGACTAGCGAAGACGTCGAGATGGTAGACGCCCCCGACGCTGCGGAACCCGAGAAGAAGAAGAAGAAGAAGAAGTCGAAGTCTGAGTAAAAAGACCGAAAGAAAAAGAGCCAAAAGCAGCGTCACCACTTGTGTCTTTTTCACGATTTTTACTTTTTTTCTTCGTCATCTTGCTTAGAGCTTCTCGTCGCGTTTTTTGGCACGTCGTTCTTGTTGGTTCGCTCTGTTGTCGTTGTTATCCTCGGGAGTTTCTTATAATGTATGGGGTATGGGTCAAATCTGGTACAAAGGAGTTTTACGGGTCTACTTGTTTCTTGCAAGAATCATAAATAGTTCGTCGTTGTCGTCATTCACATCTCTTGCCATCTACGACTGATCATAGAGGGGTAGCGCAAAAAAGTTTCGAAGGATGTGCGTGTGTACTAGCATCATACCCATGGAGCATCATATGGCGGCGATATGGGTAAAAACAAAGGCTCATTAAACGAACGGAACGTACGTCTAAAAGTACCTGGTTGATGTGTGAAGTGCCATGAATCTATGTACTCTTCCATTATCGCATGATTGCAAAACGCCCATCGACACTCCATGGTCTTCCCCTGATTTTCTCGCTAGAATAATATCGTCATCATCAAGTCTTCGTAGTAAATATGTGCCATGCCGCATGCAATGTGCTGCCAAGATAGAAAGGGGCTTGCAAGACTGGTAACCCCAAAGTAAAAGTACCTAAAACATCCAGATACCCGCCGCCCTCTGTATACCACTCCTTCGCTTTCCATGGGAGAAACACCAAAGAACAAGAATAAACCGCACGAACGAACCATTGACCACACCCGCCCCCCACACTGTGGCAGGCCGGCATCTCTACGCACCCTCACTGCCAAACTCCTTTGTCCATTCCTCATTCCTCTTGAGATCCTCGCCCGACACAGTCGGCCTGCTGGCTTTGATGGCCTTGATAAAGTCCTTCTTGTCGACAAACGGCTCGAGCAGCTCGTCCGAGGGTACCTGCTCCCACGTCATTTCGATGGCGTCCGGATCGCCTGGCGAGCAGGGCGTGAGCATTTGTTTGCCTTCGTGGACCACCTGTTTTTTGTAGTAACAACAGTCAACCATCATGCATCATGAATAGAGGTAGAAATAGGGATTGAGGGTCAGGGATGGAAGAGAAAAGTTAAAATAAGAACGAACCTTTTTGAAATGCGTAGCCTGCTGAATCTTCCTCACCGGTTGCATCAACGCATCCTGCACAACAATACTGATATCCGAACCCGAATAGCCCTCCGCCGCGCGCGCCAGCTCGCGGAAGTCTTCCGCTTTGAGCGCCGTGTGGGTGTCGCCCACAGCCAGCCGGAACATGGTGGTGCGCGCCGCCAGGTCCGGCAGAGTGATGTGCACGCGGCGCTGGAAGCGGCGACGGATAGCAGCATCCAGCTGCCAGGGGATGTTGGTCGCGCCCAGGATCAGCACGCCCTTGCTGTCTTTGCCGACGCCGTCCATTTGGACCAAAAGTTCGGTTTTTATCCTGCGCGAGGCTTCCGACTCGCCTTCGCCGCGCGGACCGCAGAGGGCGTCAATCTCGTCGATGAAGATGATGGATGGCTTGTTTTCTCGGGCCATGGCGAAGAGTTGCTTGACTAGACTGGTTTTTGTGGAAAACCGTTAGCTTCCCAGTCACGATAGTGGCTTAAAAATAGAGGCAATGGAACAAAACATACCGTTCACTCTCACCCATCCACTTGCTCACCAAATCCGAACTGCTCACACTGAAGAACGTGCTCTTCGCCTCTGTCGCCACCGCCTTCGCCAAATAACTCTTTCCCGTTCCTGGTGGGCCATACAGCAAAATACCCTTCCACGGCTGCCTCTTCCCCTGGAACAGATGCGGGAACTTGATCGGCAACAAGACCGCCTCCTTGAGCGCCTCCTTGGCACCCTCTAGACCAGCCACATCATCCCAGCTGATGTTCGGCCGTTCCTGAAGAATCGCGCCCGCCAACGCACTTCTCAGCTTCTTGCTATCCTCATCCAACGCTTCTCCATTGCCATTACCGTCCTCCCCGGCCTCCTTCCCCTTCCCCGTCCCGCCCGTCGACCCCCCGTTCGCGCCCACCATCCCGGGCTTCTTCCGCTTCGCTTCCGCGTCCGCCAGGTGCGCTTTGAGCTTCTCGGCCCGGTCCATGTACTCGCCCGTCTTGGCCCGGATCATCTCCTTAGATTTCGGGTTCTTCTCCCATTTTAGGGCGAGCATGAAGAGTTCGAGCGATTGGTAGTACAGCTGGTAGGCTTTATCGTACTGGGCGGCGTTGTCGGCTTCGATGGCTTTGCGCACTTGCTCGATGGCGCGGCCGAGGAAGTCGGTATTGGACATTTTGTGCGGCGGCGGTTCGAAGCGTGTAAAGTGGTGTCGCGTGAATTCGTGGTTTAGTCGAGTGTATAATATGTGGTTCTTCTTGGTACGCCGTAGTAAGCGTTTGTAGTCGTTAGACTTGTTTGCTTCTTCGCTCGGATAAAGAGAGTTTGTTGATATTCGCGCGCCGAGGTTCGAAGTCAATGTCAACAGATGGCCATATGCGAGGGAGGAGACTCGTTGATGACGACTGCTGTTGTCCTAGGCTACGGCAACGAGAGTGGTAGAGATAAGGTGGAGGGAGATCGGGAAGTGGTCGGATCTTGCAGGCGTCACCTGGCAACGACTACAACAAGATTGTCTTCTGGCAAAAAAGTTGGTGTCGCGCCCTGATCTGAGGTGGAATTGGAGAGGGGAGATCGTTGGTGGTCTTGTCCATATCTTGGTTTCAAGCAACGAGGTCGACTTGTCTTGGCCGTTGACCTGGAAGCGCTAGCGTAGCGCGGGGTCCTGCTATGGTTCCCGGCCGGGCCTGGGGCCACTGACGCCACTTGTTTGCGCATGGAGAGAGCGCTGGTCTGGGGCTGTTAGTACTTTGCCTGAGGCTACACTTCGACACTAACAGCTAAAGCTCGGGCACTGACCTGGGGATCTGCTCAGCTCCCCCCTGACGATTGACTGCACAGCGAGCTCAGTTCCCCAGAATAGAAGGAACCTCCAAATTCCCCATATTGAAGCTCATCTGTGTTTCTTCAGTTCCTGCATTTTGATCCATCATCCTCCATCTCTCACTGTGTCCAAATCCCTTTTCACTTTTCGAACGTCACCACCTAGTAATTTCTTAGCATAACCCTCTCTCTCACTTCACATCACCCCCAAAGAAGCAACCATGGCCAGCCCCCTCCAACTAAAGCTCCAAGCTCTCTCTGATGAGTATCAAAACCTGAACAAAGGTGAGCCCCCCTTATGATGATATCCCCGTAGTTCATCCACTAACTGTACCTCAGAACTCCAAGAGACTGTTCTCGCCAGACAGAAGCTCGAGGCTCAGAAGCAGGAAAACATCAGCGTGCAAAATGTCAGCTTTCTTCCAAGCATCGAGCTCGCATGCCCAATGCCTTTGGCCGAATTCTGCCCAAGGAAAAAAATGGGGACTAACTGAGCACCATGTAGGAGTTCGAGAAGCTCAAGGATGACGAGCAGATCTTCAAGCTAGTGGGCCCGGTGCTGCTCAAGCAGGACAAGATGGATGCAGAGAACACAGTCAAGGGTAGACTGGAGTTCATCAGCAAGGAGATGTAAGTGAACTGCTGCATGGGATCTTGAGTTCCAACGCAACTGACCTACTGTCACAGCACTCGCTTGGAGGGAGTCATCAAGGAGACACAGGGCAAGATTGAGAAGAAGAGGACAGAGATCATTCAGGTCCAGACGAGCGCCCAGGCTGGTGGTGCCCCTCAGGCCGTCAAGGCTTAGACCTAATGGAATCAGTTACGGAAAGAATGTCCACGATACCCAATCGAGATCAGGCGCAGGTACGATTCATCACAGAGCGATCCGGGAAACTGTCTCGTGAATGCAGTCATAGGTCGGTTTTCTTTACCAAACGGTGATTATTACGTGATGTATTTACCGAAGATTCCCCCAAGATACCCCTTGACGCCTTGCTCTAAAATCGCTGAATGGAGATAACCAAAACACAGCTTACACCCCCCCTCTCCCTTCCCCTTACTCATCCACCCACCGACAGACCGCAGCTTCTCATCCTGTCTTATTTAACCTCAGTTCAGCGCCATAATTGTGAACCCCCACGGCAGCCCCATATTCTTACAAGTCCGACCACTAACCCACGCCACACTATCACTCGACAAATCCTCGCCCACCGCATTCAGCGAAAGCAGACTACTCCCGCCCTGCTGGGACGCCCGATCCGGATCCTCCACCATTGCCACCACGAAGCTGACCAGCTCGTCCTTAGTATAGCAATGGCTCAGCAAGGACGTCGCGCCGATACGATCCAGCATCGTTCTGCGCTGCTCGCTCTCGGCAAAGAGCTGGAGTTCCCTAGAGAGGAGACTGGTCGTCAAGTCTCCTGACCCAGAGTTTGCGAAAGCTACAGAAGAAGAACAAGCACGCAAGAGCCGCTCAAAAACCATGGCCATCCCCGCAACAGCTTGGACGAACAGCGTCACCTTGTCGTGATCGTCTAGCCCAGCCTCGATGCGGAATTCCTTCTCGGTCACGAAGGCGAGGCAGGAGGTGTCGAAGATGGAGTTGAGGATACGGTCGAGGCTGGAGGGCTGGGAGAGGAGGGCATGACTGCTATCCGGGAGGGCGTAGGTGTTGGTGAATTGGACGAGGATCTGTTTGAGTAGGGTGGAGAGGCAGGTCTCCGGGGGGACAAGGAGACGGCCCTGTTCGAAGGATAGGTTGTCGGCTGCTGCTTCGATGCTGGCTGTTCACGTGGAGAGATGGGGTGTTAGTTTGGGCGTGACGGACGTGAGGGCTGTGAGAGGAGGAGGAAAGGGCTGGTTGGAGGAGTTGTGGTGGACTTGCCTTGCATTGGGCTTACGGAGGAGACTGTGGACGCCATTGTGATGAAGAGGAAGAAAATTGAGTGTATCACTGAGATGTGAGAATGGTAACAATAACAGAGGAGAGGTGTAGGTTGGAATGGATGGATGATAGAGTACCACAACACACAAGCACTCGGGGATCAAGGCAGGATTATAAACAAGTAGACATCACTCAGAACGGGATACACCAAAAGTCTCGCCGCCTCCTATTTTCCGGGTTTGATATTAATCTTACTGTCCTGGAAAAGGCATTTCCGTACAATTAACCTGCGGCCGAAGTTACACCGTGATCGAGGTCATAATGGCGCGGTCGAGATCGTGAGGAACAAGGGCACCGCATCGCGCACCTGTCAGCTGGCCAGTTGCAAGTCTTGTTTTTACTATACGTATCGGTCAAGGGCTAGGTTCTACACCCTCACACCCTCTCAATGCCTCACTGCTTGTGGCATATCCTCGCCCCCCGTTTGGTTCCGATCCCCTTGGCGGATTCCGTAAACTCCCGGTTTTGAGGCTGGACATGGTTCCCAAGTGGTTCGACTTGCATTTCGCTAACCTGCTTCTTTGGGCCTTCTGATCCATCGGCTGGTCCCGCCGTGTCACCAAGTGTTGGTCGCTAAAATACTACGAAAACAGGCAGGATATCGCCGTTGCCATGTTTGAAATGATGACAGCTCGCATGGGAATCAGACAAGAATTGGATGTTTGATCTGATGCGAAACACCCTCCCAACTTCTAGAAACTTGTGTGCATATGTTGGCCGTGGGGGTTCAAGTTAGCTATATGAGATCAATGCAGGAATGTGATACAACAGAATGTCAACATGGTCAACCGCCGGGATGTTGGACGCAGATTCAATTCGAAGAATCGATGCCATCCATCATTTATCTTGCCATGTCACATGGTACGTTCAAACTTCAAACTTGAAAATGGCAAAATGTCGAGTCTACCATACTTCCTGTACATGATAGGCCGCCAAACTGGCCTGTGCACCTTTCGAGCTGACTCAGCTGAGATGCCCTGTCTCCAGCCTGCCGAGCCGTTGCTGGCGCTTCCCTTCTACAGTACACTACTTTGGAGGTAGGTATCAAAGGCAGCCTGGCGGCAGGCATTGGATCTGCTCTCGCACTGCCCGCCGCGCGGCCCAATGGCGGGGTCGAGGCGGCCGCCAAGGTTCCTGCTTCCAGGTCGTCTTTCAGCAAAGAAGCCACTGAAAGGTTCCTGGACGGCATGTGGACTGTTTCCGGGACCCTGTGACGGTTATGACATGGACAGCTCCTTTGACCAGAACAACAAGCAAGCCAGAGCCCATTCCATGGCCGCCGGGTCTCTTGGTCATCTCCCACGACACCCAAAGCCTGGCTGATTCCAAGGAACAAACAATGAAAGCTGGATTGCCCGATCTCGACAACCCATAATCTTCCCCAATCCGAGCGACAAGAGCAAGAACAACATCCGTTGCGATAGCTTCGAGTAGCTCTCAAGGTTCACCAACCAGCCGAGCCAGGACAGCCATTGCGATTACGACAGCGACCAGAAAATCCCCGCGACGACCGACAAACAGAAGGAAACACGACAACAACAGCAAACAGACAACACCGATAGTGTATCCTTGTTAGTACACGGCAACCATGGGAAGCGCAACGATAGAGGCCGGGAGCCGGCCCATGAATGTCAGGGAGATATCCGAGAAAGCAAAGCAATACGACTGGAATCCCCGAATTGGCTTCAAGTTCTGGGCGCGCGCTGCCAACACCATCCATCATGAGGTCCGTCACAAGTCTGTCATGGCAGCAATACCAAGAAAAATCGCTGACTTGTATCTGGTGGTTACAGGGTCAGATCTACCTCCAAGAAGGAAGCATAGCGCAAGCTTACATGTTTCTCCTCCGCTACTGCACCCTCGTGCTCGAGGATATGGCGAAGCACCCCGAAGCCAAACTCCCCGAAAACCGAGGGCTGATGAAGCAACTGAACGCACGCATAAACACCGTGGTTGAACAGCTTGAACAGCTCAAGCCCCAGATAGAGGAGGCCTATGCGAAGTGGCAGCAGCTCACGGCCAGCGTACAAGACAGCAGGGAGAAGCGGCTATCTACATCTTCCCAATACTCCAGACACGCTGCCAGCGACGCTGCTCTGTCATGGAACCATCTATCTCAGGCTAAGATCCTGGATGCTGGATCAAACCAAGAGTTGGCAGTCGACCTTGCTAGGGAGGCGCTGCTTAAGCGACGGAGACGACGACGGCAAGAGAGTGCTGATGAAGATGAACGCATGCACAGGCCTCCATCAGGTTACAGAGAGGAGAGAGGTTATGATGCGGGCAGGAGACAGCAATATCCTACTCCACCACCAACGAACCATCGCTATTCGGAAGACGATGACCTTCGCCGGCAAATGGAGGCCACAAGACGACAATTGGACCGCTCGGGAGGCTACGGGGTTTCGGAAACTGACAACGGTACCAGCGACACTGACAGCTATCGATCCGTCAACTATCACTACCCAGCCATCAAACCAACATCTACTTATACCTACGACTACCCGAAGCCGGCGTCACGGCCGGAAAGCCCAAAACCACAGCCACCACTTCCGCCCAAGGTGATCCCCTTTGAGCGACCAGTACCCGTCACCAGACCTCCTCCACCACCTCCACGCCCACGGAAGGGATCGGGGTCGTTGAACAGAGATTCAAGGAGGAACGTTATGCTTCCTAGTCAGACTATTCGACTAGTAACCGACGAGGACGATGTCGACGATAAGCCCGCAAGACCGCCCAAAGTCAGCGAACCGCCGCCGCCGCCAGAAACGCAGCCGAAAGAAGCGAACAAAGTCACCTTCCGCCCCGTCGCCTACCTCGAAAGCGGCGAACCTCTCCGATCCGTGTTCCTCCCCAGCGGTCTGCGCCGCCGTTTCCTCGAACTAGCCCGTGGAAACACCATCAGGGAGCTGGAGATGTGCGGTATTCTCTGTGGCACGCTAATCAATAATGCCCTGTTCATCACCTGCCTGCTCATTCCTGAACAAGAGTGCACCTCGGACACATGCGAGACCATCAACGAGGAAGCGTACGTCACGTACTGCATCGAGAACGACTTGCTCGTCCTCGGATGGATCCACACTCATCCGACGCAGACGTGCTTCATGAGCTCGAGAGACTTGCATACCCATGCCGGATACCAGACCATGATGAAGGAGAGCATTGCCATTGTTTGTGCGCCGAGATATGATCCCTCGTATGTCCTCTCACCCTCCCTTTTTACCCGCATATTCTTCTTTACCCCTTTCAATATCAACAGCTAACATGCCTACCAACAAAACAGATACGGTATCTTCCGCCTCACGGACCCTCCTGGTCTCCCACACATCATCAACTGCAACTCCCCCGGCGTCTTCCATCAGCACGCCATTCCCTCAGACGAGATTTACTGTAGTGCCCGTCATGCACCAGGGCACGTGTTTGAGTCAAGCAGAGTTGACTTTGAGGTAGTGGATCTGAGGCCTGAGGGGTCCAAGGTGCCGCCGTTCAAGAGGTATTAGTGATCACCCTCGAGTCCCTCGGCCGCGGCTATGGAGGTGGGAAGGAAGGCGAGGAAGAGTGTGAATCATGAGTTTTCGGTTGGGGAGATTTAGCGCTCGCTTTTGTTTTGATCATGTTGGACGAGTTATGGTTGCTGAAGAGCCGCATGCGCAAAAAGCTATGCTTAGCTGGGAGTGCATGCTTTGAGTACAGGAGTTAGAGACTAGCGTGTATGGGTAGCATAGCGAAGGCGTTTATGGTTGGCGCAATGTACTAACAGACACAAGGGGCCAAGAAGGAGCATAATCTTGGACTCCTGGAGGCTGCAAAAGCTTAAAAGGGTTTGCAATGGGATGACTGGTGGCCGGTTGTCCTTATAGTCGATGTATCATACCATATGGAGACAGACGGTAAACATATGATCATAAAGCTATGTAAGAGTCTATTCGTGTCGAAAGTTGTGGCACTTCAGCCTCTTGTGAGCTGGCAGTGTTCTATGGATGATCACAACGGTGGCTATCCAGTATCAACCTATTAGCCAGATGTAGTATGACGATCAGCCGTGTGTCATGCAATTTCGCAACTCCTGTTGTTCATAACCACAAGCATTCAACCATGTTCACAAGGGCTTGATGCTTCCTGGTTACAGTAGTGTTGATGACCACGAATAGAGTTATCTGTCAAACATTGACGAGGCGTAAGGAAGTTATGGCGAACATCTCCTACCAATCCATCACAGTGAACACCGTAGAACAACCGAAGAGAAAAAAAAAACAAAAAAAAAAACAGAAAGTTCAAGAACAAGTTCCGTCACAACAAAAAGAAACGGGTCCAAACACAGAGAGGACTCGGAGGACACAAGAAGGGAAAGATGAAAAAAAGCCAAAAAGATTTGGACGAGCTGGGAATCGAACCCAGGACCTTTCGCATGCTTGGGAACATGCTAAGCGAACGCTCTACCAACTGAGCCACACGCCCTGTGTAACCTTATTGGTTGTTGATGCATGTTGCACCTGGTTCTGGGACTATAAGGCGAGACAAAGTGATAGAGAAGGTGGTGATGTGGTTATAGTGTAGCCGTGAATGAGGGTGAATGAGACCCGAGTCCAAGGGCAGTTTTGACAGGTGCACCCAGCCAAGGTTGGGCGGCTTTAACGCGAGAAACCATTTGTATCGACCAATACATTAGAAAATACATGACTGCACAGGTTTAGAGAATGCCCTTACTGGGCATTGAAATCAAGAACTGTTAGTTTCCGTGGTGTTTTGGCTGGGTTTGGTATTGTTCTAGGTGTCATCGATTCTGTCCTGGCGAGCCTGCGACTTTGAGAGCAAGCAAGCAGGGAACGCGGGAGGGGAAAACTGATGATGATGATGATAGGGGACACTAGTTCTTTTGCTACATTTTCAAAGTCATGGATGGGTAGTAGGAAATCTGTCGAAGACCGCAAGTCGTCGTCTGTCGTGGAAAGCGGACAGTTTGTTCGAAGTTCGCGCGATGGTAACCCGGTGCCCGGTCGGTGGACAGTTGCCCCGGTGGCCGGTGGGAGGGTGGCCGGTGGAGGAGGGAAGTTAATTGTTAGTGCAATCACCACCGCACCCCGCGATCGATTTCACGACATCATTTTTGACTCCTCGCAGTTTGGTTCATAGTTAGTGATGACATTCATCTTCACCTATGTGTACTCGATTCAGCTTTCGAATGGTGGAACATGCAAATCTTGCAGTTTCCCATTTGGAGAATATGTACATGTAATATTTACCCTCGACATCGCTGTCCTCGGGCATAACGTTCTGCCTGCCGCCGGGCTGCTGCCAAAGCCCGTCGGCACCGATTAGTAAGTACCGGCTCCACATTTCACCTCCACAGTGGCTTCCTCCACTCCGTCAATGTTCCGTCTCCCGACGTTGCGATTTGGTTTCTTCCCCGCCACAGAGCATCCGGATTATGATCAAAATAGCAGCCGCCAATTCAGGGGTCGAAGTTTCGAGAATTGGGATCTGGTTCCAGTGTCTTGTTTTGGTACCGGGGTTTTGCATTCAGCCTTCGGGGGCTTCTTCCTAGGACCATCGAAAGTGCAAAGCAGGACGCGAGCAGAACTCTGATGGAAGATAGCGTAGAAAACTCGCGACAGATCGAGAGTGGTGTGTTGTGTATCTCTACCGTGTAACCCATGCCATTTGAATGGGTTGCCAAATGCCAACTGGGCAGTGGTGCGGGAGTTCCTGTTATCCCGTCAATCTTGGATGAAAAGAGAACTTCGAAGATGTTGCAACTTTTACTTTGATCCCAACATCCGAAGATTGCTCAACACTGCCGTACACTACACCGCAACATATGTGATGACAACATATCAACAGCCGATACTAACTATAATTCATTCAAGTCGGGACGACGTTGTATAGTTAACGAGACAGGCACTTTTGTGTCTCGAGCTCGTTTCACAGGGTCTCTATCTGCCCCCGGCATCCCGTCCATTCGGTGGAGTCTCTTCGTCCCCAAGGCGGGCCAGGTCACCGCATCTGCCGCCTGGTCCTGGGAATCCTGGGATAGCCCGCCCACCTTCGTCCGCCGGCACTTGATGGGAAGCTTTTTTCTTGGCATTTTTTTGAAGGACACTTTGTACGACCACGATTATAAATGGGTGGTTTTCAAACCCCCCTTGGCAATCCCAGCCGCTGACTAATTCCGGAAATAGTAGACCATCTCCAATAGAAGCCCATGGATAGTTACAGTCTGGAACACGGGCTATTATGTACACTATTGTTTGGCAGCGGGAAAGGAGAAGTGATTGTGGATGATTTGGCCAGTTCTGGTTTATGCTGGAGGCCGCTTGACGCCCTGAACTTCGACGGCGATGTCGATCCGGCATCCGCTCGGTTGCTTCCGAGATGGAGACACAGCTGAATGCTTGACAATGCTTCACAATCTTCAACAAGTAAGACACAGGGGTCCTTTTGTTCAGCTATAAAGTTGGGGTTTTAGTCTTCTTTACTTCTGACTTGACCTTTTGTATCTATTCCTCAAGACTCTTTCGACCTATCCATACTCATCACACCATCCATAACTCGGATTGCAACATCTCTACTCGACTCTTAGACCAATAAACTTATACCCAAACAACCACAAACAAACATCAAAATGGCTCCCTTCGCCACCATCTACACTTACCCCAACAACGTCCGCGTCCAGCGTGTACGTCTCCTCCCCCCCTTTTTGATTCCCTCTTCTCACTTCCCTCTCCTGTTCCTTCACTTCCCTTTCCTGCCCTTTTCCATCTTACTCCTCTCTCCCACTTACACCTCAACCACCTTAACCCCCCTTTGCCACATCACATTGACTAACCCACCCCATCCAGGCCCAAGCCGTCGCCAAGCTCAACGGCCTCGAGATCGTTGAAGACAGCGACTTCCAGCTCGCCAACCCTTCGGACCCCAAGTGGGCCGCCATCCTCGCCAAGTTCCCCTACGGCAAGGTCCCCGCCCTCTCCACCACCGACGGCTCCCTCAACCTGACCGAGGGCCAGGCCATCGTGCGCTTCCTCGCCGACTCGGGCCCCAAGTCCGAGCAGCTCCTCGGCCGCACCGCTGTTGACCGTGCCCTGATCGAGCAGTGGGCCTGCTTCGCCGAGCAGGAGCTCTTGACCAACCTGTACCCTTGCATGTTGATGGTGCACAGGCCCGACTTGGTCCCGTACACCCCCGAGGGCTATGATGCTTCTGCCAAGAAGTTTGAGCGCGCTGTCAAGCATGTCGAGAACACCCTGGCCAAGGGTAACGGCAAGTTCCTTGTTGGCGAGGAGGTGACGGTTGCGGATGTCATGGTTGCTGGCGCCTTGATCTTGGCGAGCAAGTTGTTGTTGGATGCTGAGATGAAGAAGAGCGCCGCGCCTAGCGTTGAGGGATACCTCAAGGGTCTGTTGGAGATTCCCGAGCTCAAGGAGTCGTTTGGCGAGCTGGTTACCGTCCAGGAGCGCCTCCGTGGCAAGACTGAGTAAAAAGTTGATGACATTTTGATGGCAAGGGCATGATACCATAGTTGGAACACTAAAAAAAGTTAATGATAATGGGTTTTATCGAGTGCTACTTACTACATTTCCACACTGGAACTCACGATTGTGTCAAAGATGCATGCATGTTAGGGGGGAGGGCAAGAACTTGATTGAAACTATGTGTGAGGAATGGAAGCCCGTCCAAGAGTGTAACCTCCATGAGACTTTGATCTCCTACTACCACCTGTCAGGTACCAATGCACAAGCGCAAGATACACTGATTACTTGTTCAAACCAATCTCAGATTACTTTGAAGTCCCCTATCACCAGTCATTATACCCAGCTGGCATATGGATCCAGTTTAGAAAACCCGTTCCCAAATGTCAACATATGCCTTACGAAACCTATGTTTGTTGAACAACCCAAGCATGCTATGTGCCCCATGCTATCTGACCATGCAAAGAAAAGTGAGAGGAAGCCCTCCGTACAAGATCCCGCCGCCCCAGAAATGAACTCCGACGCCAGTAAAATCAGGCTGCGGTGCTGCCAGCAGACGCCCAGTGTATTGTGGTAAACCGTTGGTAATGTGCTGCCTGCAGCTTTTGCTCAGCGAGGACTTGGTTCCAACTCAGCTTAGGTGTGGTATAGACCGTAGATGGCGGCGGCCCACCGGCCAGGAAAGTCGCTAGGGCAATTGGCGTAGCCCTCGGCGCCGACAACGAGGCGGCCATCGGGCGTGGTCCAGCGGAAGTTGTCAATCGAGTAGTGGATGAAGTCCTGAATATCCTTGTTGCACAGATCGATCAAGACACCATCCGGCTGTGCGTCGTACTTGCTGGCAATGTTGACAGCGCAGGTGCCGTGGCTGAGAATCTCCCTGGGAATGGTGTCGTGCCAGGACCAGCAGATGGGGGTGTGGTCAAAGTCGGGGATGATCACGTCCGCAATGTAGCGGCAGTCATCGACGAGCGGGGAGGCGGCAGTAGTCTTGGTCACGTATTTATCGCCTTTGCAGTCGTGGAACAACATGTGGGGCAAGCCATCGCTGTTGAAAACGTGGGTGCCGTTGTTGTCAGGGTCATGCTTGAACGCGCCGAGGGTGGGAGCAGCGCTGACCAGAGCAGCAAAGCTCGGAATGAGGGTGACGAATGTCTTGAGGAGCATCTTGACGAAGTGAGAAAACAGAAGAGTGAGGTAGTCTTGTGATGTGGCTTGCTTCTTGTTGTCTTGTCGATGATCAAGGTGAGAGAGTGGTGATCCAAGTTTTGAGCTTAAGAAGATCGATGAGAGGAGTGGTGATGGATGACGGAAGAAAAAAAGAAGAAAGGAAGAGTTTGTGGGAGGAAGGAACCCCTCCTTTATACCTGCCCAAGGGTTGTTTGCTCGACTCGAGGATCACCCAGCGGTGGTACGTTCCTTCCAAGTCTGGATTTCCAAAAGTTCGGATGAACGATACGGTAACGAGCTTTTGTCGGGTTTTGCCAAATTGACCGCCCTCATCCGAGAGATGGCGGGACTTTTGCGTTTCATCTTACTGCACCTTTTATCTTTGTCCAGCAAGGTTCTCATCGCTTCCATCATCTAGCTATGCCTCGATCTGGTATCGTACGGGGGGTGTTATGAAAGGGCCTGACTGTCCTGTTGGAGAACTGGAGGTAACAGCCTCGGTTCTCAAACGGGACGTGAGCGATAATGTAGTTGTACCAAGCATCGAACCACCCGTACCATGTTTTAGTATCATCTCCGTCGTGGGACGACATACCCACAATGGGATGGGTTTGTGGTCATCTGGAGAACCCCAATGATAGGAACAGGACCTTTGCAAGTTTGCGGTCATGTAGTGTCCATCACCCTGCTTTCACTTGGTGATCACCCCTGGGAATGCTGAACAAGTTGGCTTGCGAGAAATGCAGACGGTGTTGCCACCACAATAGAACGAAGAGAACTTATGATCAGATTTTGTACCGTGCACTACCTCACAAGCTCATTATCACCATCATTGACTAGGACCTTCCCACCGAGTATAGCGGCCTGAGCCTAAAGCCTAACTAAAATACGGAAACACAAAGACGCGGATGATAGTTAGCCGCAAGGTAGCACGAAAATCGACTGGTGAGATAATTCTCCGAATAGTCCCTCCCCATGACTCAGACTACATCATTCCGTGATACAAATGCGGAGAGATTCTCACGAATAGAGGCGTACGGATGCTACCAGCAACCCGGTCAGAAATCGCACGTAAGAGGTGCGGAAGATGTGATCTGAAACCCATCAGACTGGCCTCAAATCTCCCTCAGACACTGCGGTGTCCTGTGTCCCTGTCGGCCGAAGCTGCCTCAGAAATCATCATCAGAGCGGTAAATGCCCCAGATAACCCCATCCTGCCAGCTCATCAGGCTGTCGCACCAGAATTCGCCCTCTGCTCCAACGTGGTAGTTCCCGTCGGCATCTTGCAATGCGAACTCGGCGACGGCCTCGTCAATTCGGTCAATGATGTCGTCATTCCCGACTTTAAAGATGTCGAGGCCGTCGAAGCCCCAGACTCCAAAGACACAGGTGCCATACGTTGCAAGATTGCGGTGGCGGCTCGACATAGTCCTCCACTCACCGTCCTTTGCAATGTTACGTTGTAGATGATGGCAGTCCTCAACGAGTGCCGAGTCATGGGTCGTCGTATTTTTCATCCATATGCTTCCTTGACACTTGATGACTTGGAAGTTCTGTTGCGTCGAAGTGGACGAGGCAGTAGAGTTGTTAGACTGAGAGGGCGGGGCCGAGACTGCTGCCGGAACAGAAAGAACACTGGAAACAATGGCCAGGATAATCCCAGCAAGCATGACAATATGCATCTCGAAATTCTAGGCCCTGTCTGTATGAGAGAGCCGAGTTAGTGTCTAACCCCCAGAACAGACATCATACCGGTCGACATTGACGACTCCCGAGAATGGAAGTCACCTACCTACCTCTGACTGATCGGCTATTATGTCAAAGAGTGCATATGCAGGGCGCGGTACCCGTATTCCAGACAAAGAGAAGTCCAGAATAAAAGACAATCAGGGGGCTTGCAGGTTGCAGATGAGACTGATGTTGTACAACAGGGCGACGAAGAGAGCAGAGGGAAAAGTCCGACGCAGACAGACGAGCAGACGCCTGTTTTATCTCCGTGGAGTCAACACCAGTGGAGGGTCTCCCATCAAGGGAATGATCCGTCTTTAGGTCATTCCACCTTGTTCTTCTCTCAGCCTTTCCTAGGAAAGATTCCACTCAGAATTATCTTCATCCTTGGCGGTTAGGTACAGCTGTTTGTTGTAGAGCAGGAGTGCCAGGAGAAGATTCGTCATGTAGAAGGCGTGATGATTGCTAGCAGACTGTAGTAGGTGGACTGAGGACCTTGATAACTCCCGTCCTGAAGCAATCATGCTGACCGGAAATGGAAAGGACACTTGACTGACACAGACACTTTGGAAGTTGTTTCCCTTGAGATCACGGAATGAGGCAGGTGGTAATACGGGAAGGCAACCGGTAGAACTGGAAGGAACGTGGATAGGTGACATCCGGATGCTGTTACTACCTACAGTAGTATTGTCGACTGTTCGAACCTGGGAAGGCCAGTCTTTCCTCATCTGCAGGCTCCCTTCAGTCTAGTGACGGTATGCCTGGCTTCCGTTGGTTGGTACCTCGCGGAGTGAGAATGCGGCTGGGAAGGTGCGTCGGGAGCGGCAATTGGTGGGGTTCATTTGTTAAAGTTGAGGAGAAAGAAGGTAATTTTTGAAGGAAAGCGTAAGTGGAAACCCGTAGACCTCACTTTCGGCTTACTACTGTAATAACTTGAATCTTTCGACGTCTCCGAAACTCCGGCTTCCATAGGTCGTCTTTTCACTTCTCTCCAGCTAAACACGACTTCCCATTTTCACAGTAGTTAATCGCCTCCTGAAACTTCCTGCCAGATAATGCACTCCAGCCAGCATGTATGCGACCGATGTGGCAATATTGGGCAGTCTGCGTCCTGCGCTGGCGGTAGGATCTCACCTCTACCGGCGACATTGTTACTTTCCATTTCGCCGCCATCTCTCACCGTGGCCTGACCATCGGGACGGCACTTACACGAAGCGAACACAATTAATGGAAATAACAGCCTCAACAACTGTGCGACATGCGTCTTTTGATGTTGTGTCGAATTGCCATTGCAAGCTTACTCGCACCGCAGCGATGCTGATGGAACCCATTGGCCACAGACAAGCTGTTGCTCCAATTGTCCCACCCACTCCAACTCAGCTTCGCCTTCACCGTACCACACCAGATACAACTGAATCGTTTCTCAGTCAGAAAACCCATGGAAGCTGGCTTCAGTCCCAACACCCGACACCTAGACCCAAAGGTCAATATCCCATGTGACAAATTGAAGCAAACTGGCTGGTCGTGACGAAAAGATCAGGTCTGTCAACGAGCAGCTCGTCACTATTCTTATTTGCATGTCGTGTTACCAAGGAAGGATGCTTTTTTGCCATGTGGTAACAAACACCTACGGGCAACCGCTCTGTTTACTTTACTCCAGGGGGGGCAGATGCTGTACCCCTGAATCTAACAACTGCTGTTGTGACAGGTTGGTCTTGGCGTAGCACCGCAGCTGCCACCACATACCACCCCAAGTAGGAACAACCTATCCCTGCATAATATTAGGTACTGTTATTGATATTGATCAAGTTGCCTTGGGTTGCTTTTTGCAGACCTTGTCCCGTACTGGGCTTGTGGTGGGCAATTGAGGGGTTTAGTCATCTTTGCCAATTGACCTTGGACGTCCAGCTTCTTCCAGGCTCCCAACAGTCGTACGAGCCACGCAGGTAGCTGACGCCGTCCACTGCCCAAAAGTATCACCAACTTCCATACTCTGACCACAGAAGCAATGGCCCAAGAGAAGAAACTAATCGTGGTTGTTGGCGCCACGGGTAATCAAGGCGGCTCTGTCGCTCGGCGCTTCCTTCAAGACCCTCGATATGCAGTCCGCGGCCTAACCCGCAATACCTCGTCCCCAGCTTCCCAGGCCCTCGCGGCTCAGGGTGCGGAGATGGTGACCGCTGAGCTCGATGACCCAAAGACACTTGATGCCGCATTTGCAGGAGCAAACATCATCTTCAGCGTCACCCAGTACTGGGAGCCCTTCTTCCGTCCCGACAGCCGCGTCAAGGCACATGAGCTGGGTATCACCTGCCGTCGTTACGCCTACGACGTTGAGTATCGGCAGGGAAAGAATATTGCTGATGCAGCGGCCAAGGTAGTGGACACATTGGAGGACAATGGCTTCCTGGTATCGACTCTGAGCCACGCCCGGAAGTGCAGTGGCGGGAAGTTCACGGACTTGTATCACTTTGACTCCAAGGCTGATATCTTCCCTGACTATGTGCGGGAGAATTACCCGGCTCTGGCAGCGAAGATGTCCTGCGTGCAAACGGGCTACTTCATGACCAGTCATGCCATCCTTCCGAATTCGTACTTTCAAAAGGTGTGTTGCCCCCTGTTTTTCCGTTGCTGCTTTGAGAACTCATCAGGTACGCAACAGCAAGCGGATGGCTCCTTTCACATGCGCTTGCCATGCTCGCCCAACACATTGGTCCCACATCTGGATGTCAATGGAGACACTGGAAACTTTGTGTATGCCGTTCACCAGATGCCTCCGGGCAAAGACTACATGGCCATGGGCTCCCACGCAACCTGGCCTGAGTACCTGCAGGCATGGGCAAAGGCAGCTGGACTCCCCGCGGAAAAGGCCGTGTATGTACAAGTGTCAGTCGATGACATGATAGCAGACACCGCAGATAGAGACACAGGTGTTGAGGTGGCGATGATGTTTGCCTACTCTGATGATCCTGGGTATGGAGGTGGAATGGATTTGGTGACGGCGGAGGATATGAGGAAGGTGAGTGCTTGCGAACGAGAAGTCTTGCTGGAGGAGTCTGTATTGACTGTTAGTTGTGAACAGGCGGGGATCGAGTGTCCCATGACCAGTTTGGAGGAATGGATGAAGCAGCAGGATTGGTCCGCTGTTTTGAGCAAGTGATAGGAGACGCTTCAGGCGGAGGGAAGCCCCAAGCTGAGGTGAAGTATGATGTTAAACCGGTACCGATAGATTGCACGTGGCCGGCGTCCCGAGAAGACGGAACAGACGGGACGACGGGACCCTGATCAACCCTCCCGTGGACCCTGAATTTGTGACAGTGGGATCCATGTTGCTAGGATCCCCGCCAGTGACGGTACGGACAGGAAACCACGACATGTCAAACCTGATTTTCTTCGATCGAGCACTCCGTCGCGCTGAATGCCTCTTCCAGACAACTGACTCTGCCAGTCCATCACTGCTCAAACGCCAAAGGGGACGTCCTGAAGCACCCATCGCCTTGAGATCATTTGCTGCGCTGCATCGTCATATGCACTCAGACCGAATGCCTGCAGAATTGACATACTTGGTGATGATACCCAGGCTCTTTCCCGCCCGCCGTCGCCTGGTCAGAGTCAGGTGCAGATGTCAACACCCGCGCGAGAAAGGTTCGGACGACCGCCAGCTGGTCATTGTGGATCACCACTTGCCCTTTCGACTTTCCTCGAGAGGGAATAAAGCCTCCACTTTTTCAGGAATCCACACAGTCCAGCTCAAGCTGCTTTCGCCTTTTACTTGTGTGGGCAACGAACCTGTTAAACGATCAGGTGTCGACATTGCTGTGAGATATCGGGGAGTGGTTCGTTGGAAATCTTGACATATCAAATTGGGCGCTTCCCCGTCGTTCTTCTTGTCAAACTGGAACGGTTAATTCGACGGGCTACAGTGCAAACAGCTTGTCTTTGATGCCGCGTTCCTAACCGCACTGCAATGGCTCTTTCTGTTTGGCTGGTCCGTTGTCAAGGATTTTGCTCGCACCATGACGGCCAAACTGACATCCATCGATCTCTGCAGTGCTCTCTCTCCACCCACAACTTCACTCGAGTTCTAGAACTGAAATCTACCCACCTCGTCCTTTTTCTTCTTCTTCCTTTTTTTTTTTTTCCTTTTTTTCTTCTTTTTTTCTTTGCCTGTGGAACTTCCTTGGTACCTTGCTTTACCATTGTGCTAATTGCTTTGCTTCGTTTTAGCAGGTCTCCTTCCGTTGTGATACTAACACCAGCCCGCAACCAGTTTGCAGTTGTACATCTCGTTCAGCTATTCTCGACGCCCACCATCTTGAGCTTCCACTGCTCGCTCCGCCAATGCGAGCACGGTCTGCGCGCTCCTCGACCTCGCGGCATTGTGAGATTCTTCGAGTCTGTCTCTGAACCTAGCACAGACAACCTTTTTCAAGAGGAGGACACTGTCGTCAGACATGGTATCCTTTGTACAGCCTCCGGTCCTATACGGATTTGACCCGGAGATCCAGGAGGATCACCCCTTCGACAATGTCTGGTCGGCTGGATTTGTAGCCAAAATCTACACCAATGAGCAACACAACGAGGTCAGGCGATTCATGGTGGATTCGTCGGCCATGCAGGAGCTCAAGTATGCCAACAACGTCTTCGTGCTTTTCAGGGCCCTTCGCCGGTGTGGTGAATTCTGGGGTCAACCAGAGTTCTGGACCGCCATGGCTAGAGGTTATAGTACCAAACCCAGCTATGTCAGAGAACTGGTCTACATGCTTGTGGATGCTCGCAAAACTGCTCTCCAAAGGATGAGGCGTGTTCATAACTCACCCACTACCCACGTTGTCGATGAGTTCATTGCCTGGCTCGACCAGTACGGGCCTTACCAGCCAAAACGCCGGCAGATTGACGGATCCATTACTTTTTTCCACTGCAGTTGGCTTCTTTAACGACATGAGAGGAACTCTAATCAATTGCAACAATATCCCAACCTTCGTCATTGGGAAACCTCCGAGACGAACACGCATCTTGGAGGCCCAACGGAGCGTGCCTGGTGCTTCTCCTCAAGTTCCCCTTGACTCCCAAAGGCAACCGAACCAAATTTCGCCGACTCGCTCAAGAACGCCCCCCACGATGCCCGTCAAGGCCGAACCGCGAGGTACGGGCTGGGAGTTCCTGTTGGAACCAAACAGGAAATCCGAGCAACAACCGGTACCGCCGCGCAAGCGCTCAGGCTCACCCTTCGCCCAAGACGACGTTCACCCGACCAAACGGCACCACAGCTCCGGGCGGTACCCAGAGCAACACTCAGCACCCCAACATTGGCATCCAGACAACAACAGGTCTCCCTTACGACAGTCAGATAAGGATGAGTACCATGGATGGCATCAATCTGGAGAACGTCTGCCACCACTAGGCCCGCGCTCTGAAGAGGCATTCCTGTTTCGGCCGCCTACCGCGCCCCGTGCTCAATCCCAGCTTGAGAGGCAGCATGGTCACGATCAGCAGAGATCTGATCAACAACGGCTCAAGCAACAGCAAATGGAGAACCAGAAACTCAGGCAGCGGCAAGTCGAAGAGGAGAGGCTCGAGGCGCAGAAGATCAAGGAGCGTCGGCTAGAGCTACAAAAGCTCGAACAAGAAAAGCTCAGACTTGAAAGAGAGCTTCAAGAGCACCAAGAGTTGTTGGAGAAGCAGCGGCTCGAGCAGCAGAAGCTGGATCAACAGAAGCTTCAGGAGCAAGCGAGGGCCAAAGAATTCAAAAGTCTTGATGAACAACAGGGAGAACGAATCCGACTGCTTGACGAAAGGACTCAAAAGCAGGCCCAAGAATCTCGGAAGCAGGCCGAAGCGCAGAAACAAGCGGTAGAAGCTCGGAAGCGCTTCGAAGAACAGAAGCGACTTGAGGAGCAGAAGAAGCTCGAAGAGCAGAAGAAAATCGAGGAGCAGAAGAGACTTGCGGAAGAGCGCAAGAAAGCCGAAGCCCAGACACGCTTCGAGGAGGAACGCAAACAGGCCGAAGCTCGCAAACAGGCCGAAGAAGCTCGGAAGCGACTCGAGGAACAAAAGCGACTCGAAGAACAAAAGCGACTCGAGGAACAGAAGAGAATTGAGGAGCAAAAGAAGCTCGAAGAGCAGAAGAGAATTGAGGAGCAAAAGAAGCTCGAGGAGCAGAAGAAACTTGAGGAGCAAAAGAAGCTCGAGGAGCAAAAGAAACTCGAAGAGCAGAAGAGACTTGAGGAGGAGCGCCAGCAAGCCCAAGCCCGGAAGCAGGCGGAAGCCCAAAAGAGATTTGAAGAGGAACGCAAACGGGCCGAAGCCGAGCAGGCCGAAGCCAAGAAAAAGGCCGAGGAAGCCCGGGTGCGAGTCGAGGAACAGAAGAGACTCGAAGAGCAGAAGGCACTTGAGGAAGAGCGCAAGAGAGCCGAAACTCAAAAACAGGTAGAAGCACAGAAACGCTTCGAGGAGGAACGCAAGCAAGCTGAAGAAGCTCGGAAGCGACTTGAAGAGGAACGTAAACAGGCCGAAATCAAGAAGCGTCGTGAGGAGGAACGCAAGGAGACCGAAGCCCAGCAGCGACTCGAGCAAAAGAGGCTCGGCGAGGAGCGCAATCAAGTCGAAGCTCAGAAGCAAGCTGAAGAAGCTCGGAAGGGACTCGAAGAACAACGCAAACGCGAGGTGCACAAGCAGGTTGATGATCAGAGCAGAAAGAAGATTGGCGAGCAGGAGAGACGAGAGCAAAATTCTCCGAATGAACGCAAACTTGAGGAGATGCGCCACTCTAAGCGTACTGATGACAGCAAGAGCATCGCACATCTTTCAAGCTCGACCATAGCAACCGTTCAGCCTTCGGCCGCTTCGCTCTATCTTTCCGGATCCAACCTGAGAATGCGGTTAGAAGAAGCCAATAAGAAGAGTCCGGAGTTGCATCGGTACAGATCCCAGGCTAATCAAGCAAGGAGTCCTTACACGACAACTCGGGACCATCTCTTACTGTGGAATGGGCGCTTGGTAGTGCCCAAGAGTGCGCTGCAGATGAACATCATGTCCGACTGTCACCGCGGGCCCGGCGGGGTACATTACCCAAGAAAACGCACTAAGAAGGCGCTTTTTACAAAGTTCTTCTGGCCCAGTAGGGGCGAGGACCTGGACCGCTTTCTCGCCAATTGCCCTGAATGCCGACTTCGCCCAGAGGTCCAAGATCAGCCGCACGAAAGGACACAGCAAAAGCCTGAGTCGAACGGCTCGGCCTCTACAACTCAGTCATCTGCTCCCAACAAGCAGGAGCAGCAGCGCGATGATTCTAGGACTGCCGATAACACAGGCCCACCGGAGTGCAGTGGCACTTTGCTCAGCACAACCAACCCCCCTGCAGCTTCTCACCATTCCGACGCCGTTGTTCCGGCCCCATCTGTCTCAGAAAGGGCCGACATTCCCGGACTGCGACTCTCACCCCATCCGTCTGTCGTGTCCTCGGACGAAGAAGTTGCCGGGTGGAAAGAGATGGTTTCCACACTCGAGAAGAAACTGGCGGATACTGAAGGGCAGCTTAAGGCGGCTGCCGTGATTCGGCCGCTTGAACGAAGCATTAGCAAATTCCAGTCGGATGTTAGCGGTCTCCATGGAGATATGAGCACCCTCTTCGACTCGTTCCAGGTTATGGTGGACAGAATGGCCTTCATACAGGACGACATCATGTGCATCAAGGATAATTTCCAAAGCAAAGAGTGGCAACACAATGGCATTGCAGAGTTCTCCGTTTCTGTAGAGGATGTTAAGACTAGCGTCGCACTGGTGCTGAGCGAGATTTCCGACCTCCGCCTGCAGCACCAGCAGCTGGAAAAGCGGGTTGTTGCAACACCTCTTAGAACTGCTCCGTCTAGGGACTCGGAAGCGCTGATGACTGCCCTGGCTGCCATCTCGCAAAAGGTGGACGCTTTGAACAATGAGGTGTCCGATCTGAGAAAGGAAGGCCAAGCGCAACGGGGAATTGCCCCTCCGCTTGCCACGAACACTGGCGACCTCAAAGATATCATGGGTGTCGTAAAGACGATTTCTGATAATGTCGACCAGCTCAAGAATGAAGTGATGGACTTGAAGGAGGAACGTGCTCGGATGAATGACACAGTCGACTCATCAGCAAGCATCAGCGTTTCCGTCGACGCCGAGTTTATCAAAGCACTGTTCGGGGAACAGAAAGCTCTGATTCAGAGTCAGAGCCAAAAACTGGACAGAATGGCGAAGGAGATATCGAGTTTACAAGCTCAGGTGTATGCTTCTGGTAGGACTCAGCCTCAGCCGAAGAGCCTGAAGCAGGCCATGGCGGCTGCAGAAAAAGACTTGCAGCACCATCTCATTACGATGCAGAATTACCGGAATAAGATGGCCGAGCGAGGGAACCCTCCATCGACGGTCGTAGCGAACATGGCCGATATGTGTCAGACGTTGGAAGAGTGCATCCAGTATTCCAAGACCGGACAAAAGTAACGGGACCTGCGTTACTTGGGGAAATCGAAATTACGATGCTACGAGATCCCGTTGGCAGTCTTTACTGGAGGACTGAATCATCAGTACATATTCACGCTGGATTCTCACCGCCGGCAGCTGCTTTGAGCATTGATATGCGTACAAGCATCTCCATGGAGTTGGCTGGGCCGGTTCGCACGGCTCTTTTTCACGGCCAAGACGAAGTACGGTGTACAAGGAAACTGAACAACATTTAATGGGCAGCTCCAGGTCTCTGTGCTATTCATGGTGACGCCCTAGAAGTATGCACGGAGACGCTGGTATATAGTCTGCCGACCATGTTACGAACATGTTTAGAAGCTACCATGAAGTCACCATACCAGATCTTGAACGCCATCATCTTGGAAGGCCGTAACTAGCACAATAGAGCCATAAGTGGACCGAACAAGTGGTATATCACACCTAGTTACAAATAGACGACCTCATTGCTAAATCTTTTGCGCTGTACGGGCTAGGTGGAGTGTTGATGTTCGATCAAGTCAGCCGGGCCGCCTACGACACAGCAGATACCAATGCCAGCCACTCGCGAATTGGTGCGCGCACACTTCTAAGTAAACTTGACTCCTCTGATGCCCTGAAATACGGTGATGGTTATGAAGATGAATGCTGACTAGGGTTAACCACATGGAACAAAACAACGGTTTGCTAGCCTGATGGCGCACCAGACGCTAGACGCTAGACGGGCAGAGAAATCAGCAAAACTCAAGTGAGGCAGTGAACCTCAGATTCACCCAAGGGTAATCTACACCTAAATTTTTGAGCCTTTCCTCGAAACGCTGGCATGCCCAGGGGAAAGTCAACGTCGAGACGGACGGGGATGGCTGCAATGACGTCATAAGGGTCGCCTGGGGTCTGGGCCAATCGGCAGTGTTTGAATGGAGCCCAACTCTTTTCTCGCTACACTAGCCATTCTCACCAGTTGCCATTTCTGTTGGGAACAATCTCCCCTTTGGTTTTCCTTTCTGGGACCATGAGTCGAATGATGTTTCCTTGGTTTGGGATTTTGTAGCATGCATTTTTGTCAACGGTTTCATTTTTTTACCTCTGCACCTGTGTCACGAATTTTCAGGGTCCTGGCCGGATCGACGTCTCCCCACCAAAAAAGAAAAATCGTCGGAACTAGCAAGATGTTGTCTCGTACCCGGGCATGAAGCCCTGAACGCGCCCGAGTGATAATATACCTATACTTCAAGTGTCACAAAAGTTCACAGGTCAAAAGCATCAAGGGGTTCAATCAACACCAACCGCTACCATGATAAACAACACCTTTCCGCGCCTCATCTTCATCCGCGTTTGCATCGTCCTCCTCCAATATGCCCCGCTCATCGAAACCTTCCTTCTCCTTATCGCGGTTACTCTTCGATACCCTCCCTCTCCCCTGATCGCCTACGCAGAGCATATCGCCTCCTTCATCCCTCCTTCG